CCCTCAAAATCCTCCATCTCCACCAGCAGCTCCTGTGTGCTTCTAGCTGTGAGCTGATGGATGAACTCCAGACCTGGAAAAGACACATTTATGCTGTGATATTCATGACCAGTGCATCTCACTGTGGGCATGAACTTTTTTTCTTACCCAGCCAGTATTCTCCATAAGCTTTACCAAACCCACTCACATACTGATCCCAGGGTCTGCAGAAGTTCACTGTACCATCCATCCTCCTCTGGATCATCTGAGGACACAGATACAATATCCTGTGGGTCATAATATTGATAATATGAAGCCAATATATTTTTTACCCAGACAAACCTGATCATGATAATTACTATATCAGTTTATGCATTCAGTATATTTTGGGCTCAATATTTATCATGTGAACATTTTCTTTGCACTATAGGGAATGTTTATTTATTTATTTATTTTCTTAAAACAGAAATGACATTCTCAAAACAATTTGGACAAATCTCAGAATGTCATTTCTCATTGATTTCATCAAATTGCAAATGTCTTAGTGCATGTCTCAAGTGTCTCATTGCATCTTTGCGCACGGTTCTGTACAAGTTACCTACAGTTTGACATGTCTCCCATTTTTGTGCCTATGAAAAAAAGACAGATGTACAATATACTTGGAGAAGGGACAAATATAATTCATCGTTGTCTCCAGTGTACCTGTATTTTGTATGACAATATAAGCCTCGTCCTCCACTCCTCCTCTCCAGTCTGCACTGTAAAATTCCATCTCACTGTAAGCAAAACAGACAAATAAATGAAAAAGTTCCTCAATAATTTAATACTTATCAATATAAAAACTCACCTGTACTGTATTTTAGTTGCTTGTGTCAGTGTCACTGTTTTTCCCTTCCTCCTCTCTTTCTGCAGGATCACATCTGGCTGGTGTTGGAAGCTCAAAAAAAAAAAAAAAAAAAAACAAACTTACTACTTGCTGCAAAGAGCAAGTAGGGCAAATCTCAGAATGTCATTTCTCATTGATTTCATCAAATTGCGAATGTCTTAGTGCATGTCTCAAGTGTCTCAGTGCATCTTTGCGCACAGTTCTGTACAAGTTGCCTACAGTTTGACATATTCCCCATTTCTGTCCCTATGAAAAAAAAACACAAATGTGCAATGTAGTTGGAGGAGGGACAAATACAGTTCATCGTTGTCTCCAGTGTACCTGTATTTTGTATGACAATATAAGCCTCGTCCTCCACTCCTCCTCTCCATTCTGCACTGTAAAATTCCATCTCACTGTAAACAAAACAGACAAATAAATGAAAGTTCTTCAATAATTCAATACTTATCAATATAAAAACTTACCTGTACTGTATTTTAGTTGCTTGTGTCAGTGTCACTGTTTTTCCCTTCCTCCTCTCTTGCTGCAGGATCACATCTGGCTGGTGTTGGAAGCTCAAAAAAAAAAAAAAAAAAAAAAAAAAACTGATTACTTGCTGCAAAGAGCAAGTAGGGCAAATCTCAGAATGTCATTTTTCATTGATTTCATCAAATTGCAAATGTCTTAGTGCATGTCTCAAGTGTCTCAGTGCATCTTTGCACATGGTTCTGTACAAGTTGCCTACAGTTTGACGTGCTCCCCATTTCTGTCCCTATGAAAAACAAACACAAATGTACAATGTAGTTGGAGGAGGGACAAATACAGTTCATCGTTGTCTCCAGTGTACCTGTATTTTGTATGACAATATAAGCCTCGTCCTCCACTCCTCCTCTCCAGTCTGCACTGTAAAATTCCATCTCACTGTAAACAAAACAGACAAATAAATGAAACAGTTCTTCAATAATTCAATACTTATCAATATAAAAACTTACCTGTACTGTATATTGTTTTTGTCACTCTGACATTTTTCCCTTCCTCCTCTTTTTCTGCAGGATCACATCTGGCTGGTGTTGAAAGCTAAAAAATAAATAAATTAAATTGACTACTTGCTGCAAAGGGCAATGACAGAGTAAATACTGTATGTAGAAGCGTGGAGCACACAGACCATGGTGCTTTGTCTCTTGAACTGGATGGTCCTGCCTCAAGACCTCAGCAGTCCTCCTGACCCAGCCTGGACCCAGGCAGACTCTGGGAACATGAGCTATGCGAGTACTTATGTCCCACTGAATCCCTTGGTTTCTTTTCACATTGACTTCTTTGCTTTGACATGTCTCCCATTTTTGTGCCTATGAAAAAAAGACAGATATACAAAAAACTTGGAGGAGGGACAAATACAGTTCATAGTTGTCTCCAGTGTACCTGTATTTTGTATGACAATACGGATAGAAGCCTCGTCCTCCTCCACTCCTCCTCTCCACACTCTGCACTGCAAAGTTCCATCTCACTGGAAGAAAAACAGACAAATAAATGCACTGTGCTTCAATAATTTAATACTATCAATATAAAAACTTACCTGACAGAGATCTGCTGACCCTACCTGACCAGTCGGTCTGTTAAACTGCACTGAGAACTTTGGCTGACACACAAAGGCCACAGAGAAGTGCAGTGAAAATGTTGCTGGAAAACTGCAGCATTTGCTGCAGCAAAACATGAAGAACCTTTCTCTCTCTCTAAATGTATCTAACATTTTTGTCATTTTTATATTTTTTTCACACAAACTATTTACAACATAATAATAACACCACACAAAACCTATCTAAAAATGTTCACACTAAAACACACAGCAAACTATTTACAACATAAAAATCACACCACACAAAACCTATCTAAAAATGTTTACACTAAAACACACACGGCAAACTATTTACAACATAATAATAACACCACACAAAACCTATCTAAAAATGTTCACACTAAAACACACAGCAAACTATTTACAACATAAAAATCACACCACACAAAACCTATCTAAAAATGTTTACACAAAAACACACACGGCAAACTATTTACAACATAACAACAATATGTTTTTTTTTTGTTTTGTTGTTTTTGCATTTGCTGCAAGACTCCAGATCCTCTTCTGTGACTGAAACATAAACCGAAGAAGGATCAGTTCTTAAAATAAAAGGAGTACTTCTGTCTTACTGCAATAAAAGGCCTCTGTGGCTCACTTGACCTTTTCCACTCCTTCCAGTCCCTCTTGCGCTCCTCCAGGTAGTCGTCCATCTGCACCACCCAGTCCGGCCTAGGTCCAGGGAACAGGCGGGCAGCATCCAACTCCTCCAGCGGGAGAAGAGGGGCAGGGGCAGGAGAAGAGGAGGAAACCTTCGGAACCTTCGCAGGGCGAGCGGGCTCGGCACAAGCGGGGCGCTTCCGAGACTGAGGAGCACAGTGTGGACGCCTGAAACCAGAAAGCCTAGCATCAGGGAGAGGGATTACCTGAAGGCCCCTGGCGGCAGCAGCAGGGACAGGCCTGGGGTGCGCAGCAGCAGCAGCGGGCAAAGGGCGGCGAGCAGCAGCAGCGGGCACAGGGCGCACAGCAGCGGCAGGCACAGGGCGATGGGCGGCAGCAGCGGGCACAGGGCGGCGAGCAGCAGCAGCGGGCACAGGGCGGCGAAGCAGCAGCAGCGGGCACAGGGCGCACAGCAGCGGCAGGCACAGGGCGGCGGGCAGCAGCAGCGGCAGCAGCAGGCCTAGGGGGTAACACGGGGTCACTAAAAACAAAAGAAGAAGGCAGCACAGAAAAGCTGAACTGAGGAGTAGGAGAAGGCATCGTGGAAATAGGAGTTTGTAATGTTTGTGTGTGTATGTGCGTGTGTGTGTTTGTGTGTGAGGACGTAGAGCGAGAGGCGAGCTCCTGTGCAGGACGTCTGGACGCCTGATGGATCACCGGGCCAAGGACCGCACGGATCTGTGGAGAGAAACAGAATGTGTCAAATACCAGTGCTACCAGAGCTCACAGCTTAAGAGTCCAGCAAAACCAGAGTTGAGAACATAAAGAGTTCAATTAACACTCGGCATCAGGCCAGATTCAAATTTGGTGTTGCAATTATTATGGCGAAAATAAATGTGATTAAGGATTATATCACCATAATTATTCAAGTTGCTGACCGTTAAAACAGCTTATATTTACATATTTAAATGACTGTACTTTGTTATAAATAAAAACAACCCATTCTGCTGTTAGAATAGCATTTATCTCTATTAGCGATTATCACAATTATAGAAATGTCCCATGAACAATTACTGTCTGCAGTTTTTTATCACGATAAATTATATTATGGTTTATTGGCCCATCCCTAATTAACACATTAACACATTACAAGAGGGGTGTAGCAACCAATAATGTAACAAGGGCTAAAAAACTCAAACTAAAGATTGGTTTCTATTTTAGACACAAACATTGCTTTTCTTTCAGTGCTAAGAAAAAAACAGTGCAAGCAACTTTTCTGTCTATTCTGGACTATGGTGATATGCATGTTTGGTCATTCACTCTGCACAACCTGCACTCTGTGCATCATGGATCACCGAGGGTTATCACCAATGACAAGTCTCTCACTCAATCACTGCCCTCTTTAGGGTTTAGTTGGCTCGACAATTTGCAGAAAACAGCATTGGTTAATAATTCTTTACAAAGCCATATGAGGAAACTTAGTAATGTTCTTAATATCAGGTCAGATAGTTATGGGCTCCGCTTTTCCCCAAGGTTACTTTTCACCTTACTTTTTTGGTATATTTCATATATAATAACTGTATTCTTATAATGTATTAAAAGTAGTAGACTATATTGTTATTAAAGTTAGGTAAATGTGACTTTAAACTCCTTTTTGTTTGTTCTATAGACAACTTCTAAGACCCCCAATTGACTGGAGATCACTTAACCCAGTCTATGAACATACCCATTCATTTTGGCACTATACAAGAAATGGTGCATCTTTAATTTAGCTCAAAATACGCTTTCATTTGACATGTGGAAATTGTCATGTAAGTTATACCATTTATATTGTCAACCTGTGAAACCTAACAATGCTAAAAAGCACAAGGAAATTCTACTGAAAATTCAAGACTTGTCAGTATACTTCAAAATTCTGGGTATGGGCTAATTTTAATGGAACAATACAGTGGACTGTAGGCGAAGTGATGTGTAATCTCATTTTGTCACAGTCCAAGAAAATCAGGTGTATCTTTAAAAAAAATAATTTTAGCCTAAACCATTTGGGAAAAGGCCTGCATGCTTAACTACAATGTTCCAATAAAAGCAGCAGGAGTCCTCCTCTAGTACCTCAATACATGTTTTATTTGCTAAGGTTACTTTTCTACATGTGGAGTCACGGGGAAAAAACATGACACCTACAGCAGATATTTAGGAGATTAGAAGCACGAGAGCTCACATTTCTTGAAATAAATATAAAATAAACATGACCTAGACATTGATAAAGGGGCATTTGCTTGACTAATGATTGCTTTTTGAGTAACATAATGACAAACCTCACGTGTTCCTCACAAATGTCTCGTAGTCTTATGCAGAAGGTGGTTAGTCAAAGTCTGGGTGAAATTCTGTCAGACTTTTGCCTCTTTTATCCAGAAATCCTCGATTAAAGGTCTCAGATACAAGTTTATGATCGCAGCCAAGTTTTGCAAAGTTTGCAGAGAGCGCGCATCACTCAAAAGATGCACTTGACAACAAAAGCACTGTGCGTGCCCGCCGCCGGCAGAACGCGCTTACGTCAGTGCAGTACGTGCTTCATCTTCTAGACCAGGGCTACTCAATTACAAACTCAAAAGGCCCACTTACCAAATGTACAGTGTTTCCAGGGTCTGAAAAAGTCTCGGTGTATTTCCAAACTTAAAACTTCTAACAAAAATGTAGTAAATCCACATGGAACATTTGAACTATAAATACACGAGCTAGATGGCTAGGTATAGCTAAGCTGCGTCTAGCTAAGCTAAGGGCGCTCTGCTCCCATTCCTCCTGTACGCTGTCACTGCGCATGCGTCCTGTAGAGCCGCTCTTCTGTCTGGATCATGTCAGTCGATCGCACCAATGCTTCTGTACCACAGAACATTTAAAACGTTCATGAGCAGCAAAAAGAAAGTTTGGACTGGCAAAAAGCGGGGATGGAGAACACAGCTTCACGGCAACCCGGAGGATGCACCGTGTAACTTTCCTGGAAGTCATTGGATGGATCGATCAAATCTGGACTTTAGTGACAACCGAAACCATCCTGTCGGGATTCAGAAAGGCTGAAATAATTCTAATTGGAACTTATGCAGAGTCTGACTATAGCTACACAGATGAGGAAGCGGCGCCCCGTTTACTCATGGATCTATTAAAATAATGAACTCTGGATGCCGTGGAGTTGCTCAGAAGTGACACAGAGGGTGAAGAATTCAATGGATTTAGTTAAACTTGTTATGTTGCGTTGTTTATGCTATAGCTATCTGACTTAATATCTGACATAAAACCTAATGTAATATCTCACGTTAATGGCCTGTTGTTCTCTGTTCTATTTTTATTACTGCAACTTGCCTCTCAAGTTAAAATGTGTGTTCTTGGTCTCTGATGTTATAAAATGCATTTCCCCAAAAAAGTGCGACTTATAGTCCGGTGCAACTTATATGTTTTTTCTTCTTCATTATGCATTGCATTATGCATGCTTTGTCATTGCATTTGGGTAAGGATCCAGACAGTAGACCACCAATTGAGTACCTCTAAATATATAAGAGATATAAATATAGAGACATAAACATCATTGACCAACACTTGGTAATTGTAGCTTACAAAGATTCCTTTATTTCGAATTATTGTAAATGACCTATATGTTTTCTATGGAAGACAATTAGTTTCATCAGATTTATCTTCATTTTAATGCTGGTGAATTTTTTAACCCTGAAAAAGATATGTTGGAATTGTTTTCATTCTGAATTATATAGTGAGGCAGATATGAGTCCTGCGCGCTCCTCTGTGAGTTTATGGATATAATAGCAGCACGGAGCGGTGAGGACAGCAGGAGGAGAGCGGCTCCAGAACTTCTGTTGCTGTCCACAGTCTTTATCAAAGGTAAAAGTGGATTCACTGTATGTTTTGCAGGGGATTTTATTTTGTGTTTTTCTCGTATGAGTAACATCAGCGCACCTAACAGGGATTGTATAGAGAAGTCTGTGTGTGTGTGTACATGAGCAATCGTGCTGTTCTTTGGCCCACCTCCTCCAACCTGGGGCTCCTCAGTTTTGTACAAATTCTCTATGTGACTTATGATAGTGGCTCTGGAAGAAACTTGGTAGGTCCAGTTGTTTAATGTGACGTTAATGATCTCAGTTAGACCCTCGTCCTCCACAATGTTAACAGGCCTACATGCAGTAGCAACCCATTTGGCTATGGCTGCAGTAAGTTTATTTTTAGTTGTGGTGTCCATGTGCCTGTGTGGAAAGTATGGAACTATTAAAATATAGTAAAAACTATTAAGTATGGTATCGTCCACTGTCACCTGGTTATGACACGAAGGAGTTTTTATAACATTACTTGCAGTGGTCACAGCTTATGTAAAAACTAGTTCACTAGGTCACAAAGAGCGTTAATCTTGCAATTAAAAAAATGACCGCTGTTAAAATGGTTTTGCGTTAACTTGTTAATAACCAGATATTTTTGACAGCACTCAATTGAAAAGAATTCTATTTTTTTAACATATACTTCCTTGTGAAACCATTATCATGTTTCTTCTACAGGGTGATGTGGCACTAGGAGGACTTTATACCAGATGCTCTACCTGTTCCTGTGTTTTGAGGAAGAAGGTTCAAGGTTCTTTGTCATTCAAGCATGTGAGAGAAACACATGGGGCTTGTACAATTCTAATGTTCACATGAT